AAAATAAGAGATTCTGTAACTTATGACATTTTGTTGTTCTGGGAGAACACTAGAGATTTTGCAACTTATGACATTTGTGGATTTCTAGGATGTCACATTTGTCATTATTTTCATAGTTTTGTGGAGGGCAGAAAAGACAACAACAAAATACATCTTATTAGGCCATTCTCAGTTATTTTCTGAGAATGTGACATTCAGAGGGCACTAGATAAAACCTGCACATTTGTTCCTGTTCATTCTGGAATTGTCCCTATGGAAAATACAGGATTTGCAGGCCATACCATTCAACCTTTTGTGAAATTGGAAAACACATATATCCCGGTTTTGTAAAAATAAGTAATAATGTTTCCCCAAATGTATTAAAATGTATTATTCTGTAACATGTTTCTAAAGAATCAGGTGTTTTTATTGTTATGTTAATTCTGTTATTTTCTTTATTAACTTATTGCTAGTCTTTGAATAAAATTGCATGAGAAAAATAAAACAGTCAAATAGACATACATTATATTTCATTTTAAAAATAAGTTTTATAAGTCTAAAATAATATCAAATCTTATTTTCCCCATTTGTTTTTTGTTTAGAATACACTTTATTTAAAAATATTAAAATATTTCTAAGAAACATGGACATTGAGGAGAAACCAATCCCAGAGAATAGTGATTGAAAAGAACTGATTACATTCAGCTGTAATGAGTTACTTTTGTTAATCTTAGTTCCTTTAATATTTGTTTCCCCCTCAAAGGAATTGGTTACCTTTTCTCTTTGTCTAGTAAGATGATCCTAGACATAGGCTAGTTATTGCAAATAAAGTAACCATGGAACCTATGTTTCTTAGGAGCTGGCTTACTTCACTTGATATAATTTTTTTCCAAGTCTTTCCATTTCCTGACAAATGGGGCAATGTCATTCGTTCTGATGGAGGCATTGAATTCCATTGTGTGTGTGTGTGTGTGTGTGTGTGTGTATATATATCACATTTTCCTGATCCATTCATCTACTGAAGGGCATCTGGGTTGGTTCCATATCTTAGCTATGGTGAATAATGCTGCAATAAATATAATTGTGCTGGTAGCTTTAGTATGGCCTTGTTTGTGATCGTTGGGGTAAATGCCCAAAAGTGGTCATAGGGGAGCTCTATGTGGAGTCTTTTGAGGAACCTCCATACTGCTTTCTAAAGTGGTTGAACAAGTTTACACTCCCACCAACAATGCAGTAGGGTTCCCTTTTGGCCACATCCTCTCTAGCATTTGTTATTATTAGATTTCATATAAGATGATGCTAAGCAAAATGAACCCTAAGATAGGGACACAAGAGGTTTTTTTATCTTTGTTGCTGTTGTTTTTAATGTACTTATAATGTACTATGTGATATTTTTGTTTCTTTTGTATGTTCTTCCCCCATGGTATAACCCCTGTTGTCACTGTATTTGATACTGTGCCCTGCATCTCATATATTCATTCTTCTAATTTGAGGAGGGGAAAGGAAATAACAAAATGCTGAAACAAGGATACAGGTTGACCCATTGTAACAAAGAAATGTACAAGATAATATGTTAAAAACGAGCTTTACAACTTTGTGGAGGGTGGGAGAAGTGGGGCAAGTGGGGAGGGAATGGATGGTAGGGGAAAAACAAAGGAGGGGGTAACAATGCTTGATAGGAAATGGACTCATTACCTTACTCATGTAAATGCAACCCCTATATACAGTATATTTGCAATAAAACTATATACTATAAAAAGTAAGCCAGGCCCAAAGAAACATAGGTCCCATGGTTTCTCTTATTTACAAAAACTAGTATATATCTGAGTCAAGCAGAAAAGGTCAGATAAGATGATGTTAAGCAAAATGATCCCCAAGATAACGACACAAGTGGTTTTTTCTTTCTTGCTACTGTTTCTAACATATTCATAAGATACCACATGATTTTTTGTTGCTTTGTATGTCCTTTCCCATGGTATAACCTTTGTTTTCACTGTATTTGATGTTGGTATAATTTGGGGAACAGAAGAGAAAAAACAAATTGTTTACATAGGGATACAGGTGGACCCATTGCAACAATGAGATGTACAAGACACTATGTCGAAAAAACGAACTTTACAATTTAAGCGAGGGGTGGGGGGTGTAGTTGTGGAGGTGGGAGGGAAGGGATAGTAGGGGAAAAAACAAATTAGGAGGCAGTAATGCTTGATAAGAAATATACTCATGACCTTGCTCGTGTGATTGTAACCCCTCTGTACACTATTTTCACAATAAAAAAAACTTAGTTTTTAAAAAGGGAATTGATTTCCAATACTTCCTATCATTATTCCTAGGTCTCTTTTTTTGGGATAAAGGCCTCTTCCTCTGGGACACCTTCCTTGGTCACTTCTTCTATCTTCCATCTTCATCCAGGCTACTATGACTCTTTTTCTGTTGTCAAGGTGATGTACAGAGGGGTTACATAAGTTAGGTAATAAATACATTTCTTGTCAAACTTGTAACCCTTCCCTCATTTCCGCCTACTTTCCCTCTCCCCCAACCCCCCCCCAAGTTGTACAGATCATTTCCTACATATTATCTTGTGTATGTTGCTGTGACATTGGTTCCCCTTTGTCCCCTCACCATTTTTTTGTTCCCCTTCAATTTCCCAATTCACATAAAACTATATACAATACCAGGGGTCCATAATCAAATGCAGTGACAATGGGGGATATACTTTATGGGGAAGGACATACAAAGGAAACAAAACTCAAATGGAACAACTTGGGGAAAAAATCATATTAAGTGAAGTAAGCCAAACCTAATGAAACATAGGTCCCATGGTTTCCCTTAGTTGCAATAATTAGTGTATGTCTAAAAAGCAGAAAGCTATTGAGCAGAATAGCTCAATAGCAATTGTATAAGATGACACTAAGCAAAATGAACTCTAAGATATGGAAATAAGAGGTTTTCTTTGTTGTTGTTTTTTTTAATGTACTATTATACTTATTGATAGTCTTCTCTGTGGAAAAGCTTTGTGAATCTAATGCCTCTACCATCTAATTTCTTCATTGTCAGGCATGCTATATTTTCATTCATGTAATATTATCATTAGTATTTGTACTTGTTTGCTTATATGCATAACACACTTTTATTTTAAAATTTAACTTAGTTATTTAATTTAATCTAAATTTAATTTAGATATTCAACCAATTTTAATCAAAATAAGTAGTTATAATAGAGCCTAGTAAAGGTAGTAAAATAATCTTCAAGGATTGGGTCATGAGATGGCTTTTCTAGGCAGAGAGCAAGGCTTCAACTCATATCTTCATGTCTCTTTTGGTCCTTGAAGTCCATGTTTCCTTCACCTATACCCTTTGGTCACAAGACCAGTCCTGTGAGCTTCCTTCTTACTTTCCAAATGACTTAGAAGCTGGAAAAATAAAGAATCCATATTGAAATAGTTTCATGGAAAAATATGTATTCTACTAGTATTACAGAGATTCTTTTTTTTGGGGGGGGGTTCCGGGCATTGTGTCTGAACTCTGGGCCTGGGCCCTGTCCCTCAGCCCTTCAGCTCAAGGCTAACACTCAGGTGAGCCACAACACCACTTCTACTTTTTTCTTTTGTGGTGCTAAGGAATCAAACCCAGGGCCTCAGGCATGCAAGGCAAGCACTCTACCACTGAGCCACCTTCCCAGCTCCTATAGAGATTCTTAATAAATTAAATCATCCTTATTGTTTTAAATTTTATATAGTTATCAAAATATGTACATTAATTTATAGCTATGTTTTATTTAGCTCTTAAGATTTTAATTATGAATTCATCCTCCTGTTCATACAGTGTCTTTCTAAAGTTTAATTTTTTTTTTTTTAGCAGTACTGCGGTTTCAACTCAGGGATTTGCATTTACCATTTGACCCGTACCTCCAACCTAAATCTTGGCCAGATTCATAATATCCAAAAAATAAATATACATTTATAGCTTAATACCACTGTGTTCACAGCAATAAATAACTGTGAAAAAGTATTAAATTGTGCCAAGATTTAGAAACAAAGACATTTCCTCATTTGAGTGTTTCACACAGAACTGTAAGTAGATAGGTGATAATGAGATACAAATTACATTGAAGCATGTCAATGGACCTGATGTATAAACACATCTGGTACCTAGAAGTGGTTACCATGATTTATGCTAAGAGAAGGAAGGAAAGAAAGGAGCTGGGGTCTCAATGGTGGGTGAAAAGATGGCAGGTTGGAAGGGATGATGGGTAGGAGAGGCTGTGAGTCAGAGGATTTGATGGACTCAGATGTCCCCTGTGGCTGAGAGTGGGAGATATTGTGAATGAAGTCACGCTATTCATGACTTAATAGAACAGTTCTCTGTCTGCAGCTGATGATCAGCAACAAACCAAACAAAACAACAAAACAAAAAAAAACCCAAACCAAAACAACAACAGAAGTCCAACAAAACTACAAAAAAACATAAGGAGAAAAAGAAATTTTTTAAAAAGAAAAAATAAAGAAGCACTTTCCCATTCTGTCATACATTCAGTTACTTCATAAGCTGAACTCTGATTGTGCAAACTCTCTTAATAGTGTCTTTATGCAAAGGGGATATTTCTTTGTTTGTACTAATACTTCCAATTTCCCTTTTTCACGCCTTTTCTCCCTTGAAGTTTTGGCACTTTATTACTTTGGCTTCATTTCTATTCTGTTCACTTTCATTTCCTGATTTCCTTCTGCTCACCTTACTGTGACTGTTATCTGGGCCCAGTCTTGTTGTCATGTTTCTTACCCACATACCTGCTTTCTGTGCTTCAATCCTGACTTCTGGTCACAATCAGATGTCTCCAGGCACAGGACACTCACTTCTGTTCTTTCTCAGTTGCTCTCAATATCATAAAGGGGAAGAGACCAGAGATGTTTTTGACTATCTGTGGGAGGTGAGAGGCGTGAGTGGGGGGGGGGGATGGGGACAGGGGAGAAGAAGTCAGGGCTGAGTTTGGCTGTGTGCTCATAGACAGCTCCTCTGTTTTAGGTGGCTGCAGACCTCGTGAGGCGCTTACACCTCGAAGCTCATGCAGACAAACTCGTAGCCACCTATAGTGGAGGAACCAAGCGGAAGCTGTCCACAGCCCTGGCCCTGGTTGGGAAACCTGACATTCTTTTATTGGTAAGTAGTGGAAAGACCAGCAATGTGTTAGTGTCTTAAGAGAAGATACACTTTGCATGTGTACCTATACACTTATTTTAAACCATTGCAGTTTTTCTCAGAATTCATTTCAAAACTTGCAAACACTAATGCTATGAACTAATAAATTGTCTGGACTAAGTCAACATTTTTCAACCAGAATGTAAAATATCACTGGAATTTCACACACACACACACACACACACACAATATTTTTCTTTTGGTAGATTCACTTCTATTTGTCAGAATAAAATTTTCTTAAATTTTAACATTAAAATGATATTCAGAGAGGATATTGAAGTATATCTGCAATCTGAAATGCTATATATAATATATGTGTATGTATATATATATATATATATATATATATATATATATGTTGCTTTTATACCTTTTTTATGCCTGCGTGTGTATCATGAAGATGGGCTCAGAGATTGCTGTGTTTTCCCCAAAGGCTCATATACTAAAACCTTTGTCCCTAGACACTGGTTCAAATGGGAGGTTGTAGAATATTTAAGAGTCCTGCTAATGGGAGGTTTTTAGGTTATTGGGGATATCCCTTGAAGTACATAGTAAGGCCCTGGCCCCTTCTTTTGAACTTTTTCTTTTCTTTTCTTTTATGCTTCTTGGCATGAGGTGATATTTTTTTTCTATTACAGCCTCTTGTCATGTTAGGCTGCCTTACTACACTCCCCAAAGCAGTAAGGCCAACCAATCCTAGATTCACACCTCCAAAACTATAAGACAAAAATAAATGTTTTCTCTTCATAAGTTAATTATCTGGGTGACTTATTTCAGTAATGGAAAGTTGATTGACACATGAACACAGGATGACTTTGGGGAAGGAGGAAAGAGTTCCAGCAAAAAGATGGAGCATGGCCAAGAGACAAGGCATGTGTAATCTGTCTAGTAACTGCATCCAATTCCATGTTGCAGGATCAAAACATTAAATGGAGGTGATATAAGAGCCAATACCCTGGCATTCAAAAATAGCTCTAATATATACGATGCCATTAAACAATAAGTAAAGAGCTCCAGTGTTGTGTATGTTTTTTTATTACTAAATTACACCCTAAGGCTGAACCCTGGCAGACAGTCCACAAGTATCAAAATATACAGGGAATAAAGCAGATTATTTTTTTCCATTCTTACTCATCAAATGAAAAGAACATTTCATAGGAGAATTAATGAGGTTTCAGAGGGCCCATGCTGGTAAAATGGATTCTGTCAGTTTTTCTTGTTGTCTATTAAAAACTCAACTGAGTACTTTTACCTGCTCTAACCTTGTAATTGAGAAGCTCAAAGTACAATGCTATTGTGCGTTTTCATATTCTGGCATCTGATAGGCCACATTAGTGCTTATACCATTCTGTAATTTACAAATGACATTATCCTGGGAGGAAGAGGTAGGTCTGCTGAGGGGCTCATAGATATGTGTGTCCATCCCCTCTGTGCTAGCCTCAGTCTTCATGTGGACAAAGAGACTATGTCTTTTCTTCTTTGTATGTCTCTACTCTCAATCTACATGGGTGCTCAGGACTTGATTGGGGTCAGATGGGGACCCCAGGGACTAGGTGGAATTGTTTGAGCTTCTGCAATTCCACAGCATGACTTTGTGTGTTTGTGCCTGATTCTTCTTTGTCTGGAAATGGTTTTGATACTTGTGTCTGTCCTAAGGAACCATTGAAAGTAATAAAAGAAATAATCTACATTAAGCATGTTGCCAATACCTTGTGCATAATAAATCCACAGTAAGTATTTTGACTATGATGATGGTGCTGTTCAAACTCAGAGCAGACACTAAGGTACAAAATAGGAAAATTTGGAATTATACATCTATTCCTCTTCCTGAGAAATACACGATCCCATGTTTTATTCACCTTTTTCAAATAGTACACATGTATCACTTGATTTGCAGAAAAGACCAGGTGTTTATTTTCCTGCACAGCTCTCTGCTTGCCCTACTTCCCTTCCATTTTATCTTTGAGGAAATCTGATGATCCAAAGCTTTTAAGAAAAATGTGGCTTGCACTCTCTGACTACAAAAAAACACAGAAATATATTATACTGTTCAGCAAGATTTCTCTCAAAAGTGTCTCAAATAGGAAGTACTTAGGAGTTTATTGAGAGAGAAAGCTTCAGGTTCCAGGGAATTTCAATTCATTTGCTGTTGCTAAGTAAATGAAGCTGTTTCTTCTCTCATATATCTTACCAGTCTGAAAGTTTATGGAGGGTGAGAATTCATTTAGAAAACATACCAAGGATGGCCTGACCAGATCACCAAGAAAAATTAAGCTGAGGTGAAATAGCTCAACTCATGCCCACCAATTTTATTGAGAATAATTGCATATAAAAATGCATGCATACATACACATAATCCTTTTCTCCAGCTTGTGATGAGATCTCTTAAGATCTACCTCTGGGCAAATTTTAAATATACAATACAGTGTGGTCAGTCCATTTGTGCTATTATAACAGAATATCACAGATCGATCAATTAATAAAGTACAAAATGATTTTTTTTGCTGTTCTAAAGAATGGAAATGCAAGATGAAGGTATTATTGGGTTCAGATGCCTGCTGAAGGTCCTGTCTCTGACTGCAAGTTGGTGCCTTGTGTTGTGCATACGCTAGAAGAGAGAATAAGATTTCACATGGCAGAAGTTACAAGGCACAGTAGGACAAAATTTCTCCATCAATTCCTTTTATAATGGCATACAAATTGTTTGAAAGGTATAGCCTTTACAACTTCAAATAACCTCCCCAAATGCCACAATTCAGTACTTTCCTATGGGGGATAAATTTTCAACATGAACTTTAGATGGGGCAGAAGATTCAAACCATAGAAATGTCTATGCTGCATATCAAATCTGCATAATGAAAATATTCTACCCTTTGACCATCATCTCCCCATTTCCCTCTACATCTGCTAGAACTTTCCATTCTTTGTTTCTTTGTTTGACTCCTTAATTTTCATATAATACTAGTCTCTCTATGTCTGAATTATTTCATTCACTATTGTGTTCTTCAGGTTCATATACATATATATATATTCATAAATATTTGAAAACTATATTGGTTTCTTTTCTTTATTGAATAATATTTCATTATACACATCTTTATACATACAGGTAAAAGTATGTGGTACTTGTCTTTTTGTTCTTGAATTAATTTAATTAATATAATTTTTTCTATGTTCTTCCATCTTGTTATAAATTCTAGGATCTTATACTTTTATTCCTGATAAAGTTACACAGAGTGTATAAACTATGGTTTTTCTACTCTGCTGTTGATTGGCACTGAACTGGATTTCATACATTCACTAAATAAGTGTGCATGTTTGCACTTTTAATGTATTGTTTGTACATATATTTATATCTATGTATTTATATACATTTATTTATATGTATATGTGGTGAAGGTGAGATAGCCAGGTTGTTAGTTTTTTGAAGAACCTCCTTACTTTTTTCTTAACCGCTATACTAATTTGTATCTCCCCATTTTCTTTTCTTTTTTTGTCATTCTTGTGAAGGTCTTGCTTTTGGATTTTTTATTTTTATTTTTTGTATATATTTTTTATTGTAAATATACTGCACAAAGGGGTTACAATTACATGAGTAAGGTAATGAGCACATTTCCTATCAAGCATTATTACCTCCTCCTTTGTTTTTCCCCTTCTATCTCTTCCCTCCTCACTTCCCCAACTCCTTCCTCTCCCCACTTTTCTTTTCATTGGTGCTGATCCTGGCACTTGAATTCAAGGCCTGGGCATTGTCTTTGAACTTTTGTGCTCAAGATTAGTGTTTTGCCACTTGAGCCACAGCTCCATTTCTAGGTATTTTTTTGGTTAATTGGAAATAAGGGTCTTAACCAACTTTCCTGACTGGGCTGGCTTTGAACCAGGATCCTCAGATGTTAGCCTTCTGAGTGCTAGGATTACAGCCATGATCCACTGGTGCCCAGCTCTAATTTGTATTCTAATCCACAGTGTAAAAGTTTGTGTTTTTTCATAAATGCTACATTCTTTGTGTGTGTGCATGTGCATGCATGCATGTATGTGTGTAGTACTGGGGAATGAACTCAAGGCCTATTTGCTAGACAGGTGCTCTACCAGTTGAGTAAAAATATCTCTTGTTGTTTTTGGAGAGTCTTATACCCAGGGTTGGTCTCTGATGATGATGCTTCTACCTGTATCTTCATGTAGCAAGAATCACAAGCATGAGCTACCAATTCTTTTTTCCTACATGTGAGTTCTCTTGACAGTGTCTTATGAATCCTATGTGGATTCTTCACTCTTTTTAAATCTATATTTTTCTTTTTTCTACTTTGGATAATTTTAGGTATCTAGTGTTCAAGTTCACAGGTTTTAAAATTGTAATTGATATAGTTGCTATTAACATAGAGTCATATTTTCCTCCTTAGTCACTAAATTTTCCTGCTGTGGAATTGCTTAAAATTTTTGGTTTTGCAGATCAAGTAAATTTTTTCTTTTATTAATTATTGTTAAGTAGTGGTACAGAGGGGTTTCATTCAAATGTGTCAGTTTATGTTTCAGGATTGCGACTTGATTCTTCTTACATGAATTCCTTCTCTTTTTTAAACATCTTTTTTTTGTGTGTCTATCTTGTTTTTACTGATTTTGTTGAGTCATCTATTTACAATCACTTGTAGCTCCCTTAGCTTCCTAAGATAATAATTTACTGTTCTGTGTCACACAATTCATAGATCTCCATGTCATCAACATTGGTTGTTGGGTTATTCTTGTATTCCTTTGGTAGTGGTGTCATGGCTCCTTGACCTGTTTCATTACTGTGTTCAAATTTAGAGAAGTGCTGGGTGCTGGTAATCCTAGCTACTCAGGAGGCTGAGATCTGAGGATCACAGTTCAAAGCCAGCCCAGGCAGGAAAGTCCATGAGACTCTTTTTTTTTTGGTTGGTCGTGGGGCCTGAACTCTGGGCCTGGGCTCTTCAGCTCAAGGTGAGCGCTCCACCACTTGAGCTACAGCAACACTTCCGGTTTTCTGGTGGTTTATTGGAGATAGGAGTCTCGTGGTCTCTTCTGCCTGGGCTGGCTTTGAACCGCGATCCTCAGATCTCAGCCTCCTGAGTAGCTAGGATTACAGGTGTGAGCCACCAGCGCCTGGCATGTCCATGAGACTCTTATCTCCAACAAACCACCAGAAAACTGGAAGTGGTGCTGCGCCTCAACTGGTAGAACACTTGCCTGGAGGTGAAGAGCTGAAGGACAGTGCCCAGGGCCAGAGTTCAAGCCCCATGACCGACAAAAAAAAATTAGAGAAGCAATCACCCTGCTATGACTGTCTTCACTGTCTTTGGGACAGAAAAAACTTTTCAGTCAGGAGAGTGATTCTAAGGTACTGTCAGATGGTTTCTGTAGATATGCACATTCTATGCTTCTTGGTCAGTCTTGTGGGAGAGGAATTCTGAAGGTCATATGTCTTTTCTTAATCCCACAGAAGTAAGCCAGGTGCTGGGAGCTTCCTGTCTGTTTTGCTTTAGTTAGAGAATGGGCAAGCTTGTGTGTCTTCCCTTAGTCTTGCAGCTGTACTGGTTGTTTGTGGGGGGTATTGGCACTTGCTTTCTGAGGGAGTGCTCTCAGGAGGATGCTGAGGAAAAGGGGAAAGTGAGGCATGCAGAAGGCTGTGGTACCTGCATATCACATGTGTGGTGGTCTCCCGGGAACCTTCCCAGGTGGCTCTTGAGAAGAATGGAAATGGTTGCTATGGTCAGTGGCCTTTCTTCCTCACTTCCAGTCTCTCCTAACATCTCAGCTGTGCCAAATACCTCAATAATTTAGGTGTAACCAGGAAGCAGTACCTCTCTTGGGTAGTGTTATCCCGTGTGAATGAGGGAGTCAAGCACTTACTCATGACACTCTTTTCCCCCACCCCATCAACATGAATTCATTTTGTAGAATGTAATGAAGCCAACAGAAGTATTTGTTCAGCTAGAACATGCTTTCTGTTCAGTCGGAATCTAGTCCCATGCGGTGGTGTGTGCATTCTCACGTGCACTCAATGAATAAATGCTCATTTCTGTGTGTCTTCTTTCCCTTAGGATGAGCCTAGCTCTGGCATGGATCCCTGCTCTAAACGGTACTTGTGGCAAACAATTATGAAGGAGGTTCATGAAGGCTGTGCTGCAGTGCTGACCTCTCACAGGTGAGCTATGGCCCACCTGAAGGCTCTTGGAAGGAGACAGAGTAGCCATCAACACTAAGAAGTTTGTCTTTACAATATTATGGTGGTGAGATGGTTGCTCTTCTCTATTATGTACTTTAGGAGACTGAAGCAGAGAGGTTATGAAACATAACTAAGGCCACACAAAGCAGGGGGTAGAGTTAGAATTTGAGCCTAGTAGTCTAAATCTATAGACCACACTCTGGCCTTTTCCTTGCTGCTGCTCAAGGGTACGTTCTAGTCTCCCTCACTGAGTTCTGCCCAAATGACACTTCATCACCTTCCTGTCCCCATTCGCATCATATTCAGAAGATGGTAATGTCCAAAGTGAAAACCTAACTTGTTTACTGAATCTGATCCGACATTTGTCCTTATTGCAGAATTAAATTTGTAATTAGAATTCTTAACCATTGCTTTTTTCCCCACTTTATGATACACTTGCTGTAGGCCACATGACATTACAAATACAGATTTTATAAGACTGTGTCATGGAGACTGAATAATAAAGTTTACCTACTAAAAAGTCTGAAGTGTAATGAAGATTAGAGTTTAAAGATTCCACTTGCTGTATCAGGAACTATTAAGGATCTTGTTGTTTACCATCATTTTCTCCATTCAAAACTCCAGATCTAGGAAACTATTGATCTTCTGTCTTTATAAATTTTCCTTTTATGGATAGTTCATATTAATAGAATTATATAATATGTAGTATTTTTATTGAATTACACTTGTACTATAATTGTATTGAATTATAATTGTATTTGAATTATGTAATGTGTAGTTTTTGTATTTGTTTTCAATTTACCATAGGTTTTTGAATGTACATCAACATTTCTTTTTTTGTTTTTGTGGCTGTTGGGCTTGAACTCAGGACTTGGCAACTGTCCCTGAGCTCCTTTCAGTGAAGGATAGTGCTCTACCACCTTGAGCCATAGCACCACTTCTGGTTTTCTGGTGGTTAATTGGAGATAAGAGTCTCAGGGACTTTTGTGTCCCAGTTTGGCTTTGAACTTCGATCTTCAGATCACAGTTTCTTTTTTCTCTTTTTTTAAATTCACAATTTTTAATACTTTTTTATTGTAAAAATACTGTACAGAGGAGTTACAGTTACATGAGCAAGGTAATGAGTACATTTCCTATCAAGCATTGTTTCCTCCTCTTTTGTTTTTCCCCTACCATCCCTTCCCACCCACCTCCACGACTACACTCCCCCCACCTCCTGTCTAAATTGTAAAGTTTGTTTTCAACATAGTGTCTTGTACACCTCATTGTTACAATGGGTCAACCTGTATCCCTATTTAAGCATTTTATTTTTTCCCTTCTCCTCCCAAATTAGAGAAGAAGTAAGCCAGGCCCAAAGAAATATAGGTCCCATGGTTTCCCTTATTTGCAATAACTAGTATATGTGTGGGACAAGCAGAAAAGGTCAAAAGCTATGTGTATATGACCAGAGAAGATGATGTTAAGTGAAATGAACCCCAAGAAAGGGTCACAAGTAGTTCTTTTTTCTTTCTTGCTATTGTTTCTAATGTTTTTATAATGTACCATGTGATTTTTTTTTGCTTCTTTGTATGTTCCTCCCCCATGGCATAACCCCTGTTTTCACTGTATTTGATGTTGGTGCCCTGCATCTGGTATATAGATCATAGCTTCTTAAGTAGCTAGAATCACAGGCATAAGCAGCTACAGCCCAGTAGTTATCAACTCTTTTCGTTGTTCAGTAGTACTCCACTGTATAGCTAGACACGTTTTCTTCATTCACTCACTAGCTTATGAGTATTCAGATTGTTTTGAATTTGAATAGTTTTATTGGTGTCTTTGCATGTAAAAATGTATGTTTTAATTTTTCTTGAATAGACTAATAGGATTGAATTACTGGGCAGCATAATAAGTTTCTGTTGAAGAAACTGATTTTTTTCATATGCTTATTGGCTGTTTTCATCCACTTTTTAGTAAAATATCTATTCAAAAGTTTCCCCCAGATTTTTTTGTGTATGTGTTGTATATATGCATGTGTGTGTGTGTGTGTGTGTGTGTGTGTGTGTTTGTGTGTGTGTGTGATGGTCCTAAGGCTTTAACTCAGGGCCTAGGTGCTGTCCTTGAGCATTTCTGGTACTCTCCCACTTGATCTGTAGCTATACTGTAAGGTTTTGGTGGTTAATTGGAGATATTAGTCTCATGAGCTTTTCAGCTGTGCTGGCTTCAAATCTTGATCCTCAGATCTCAGCTCTTCAGCTAAGATTATATGCATAAGCCACCAGCACCCTGGCAATAATTTGTTCTAAATCAATTCTGTGCCTTTTACAGAATGTTATATAGTAGACATCATATAGTATGTAGCCTTTTGAGACTGGGTTCCTTTATTTACCTCCCTTGTATCTTTTCATAGTTTTGATGGCTTATTCTTTCTTTCCCTTTCCTCCTTCTTCCTTCCTTCCCTCCATCTCTCTCTCCCCTCACTGCTTTCCTTCCTTCCTTCCTTCCTTCCTTCCTTCCTTCCTTCCTTCCTTCCTTCCTTCCCACCCTCTTTCTTTCTTTTTTTTTCTTTCTTTCTTTCTTTATTTTGTTCTTTCTTTCTCCTTCCTTCCTTCTTCCTTCCTTTCTTTTATTAGTGGCAATGGGTTTGAATTCAGTCTCTTTGCTTGTGTAGGAATGCTTTACCACTTAAATCATATTTCTAGCTCTGCTATTCACTGGCTATTGTTTTTTGTGTGTCGGTCCTGGTGCTTGAACTCAAGGCCTAGATGTTGTCTCTGAGCTTTTGTGCTCAAAATTAATACTCTATCTCTTGAGCCACAGCTTTACCTTTGGCTTTTTGATGGTTAATCAGAAATAAGAGTATCATGGGCTTTCCTGCTTGGGTGGCTTTGACTGTGATCCTCAGATCTCAGCCACCTGAGTATCTAGGATTACAAGTATGAGCCACTGATGCCCTCTCTTGTTCAGTATTCCTCTCCAGTCTCCATGACACATATATGTGACTTCAGTTGTATATACACACACATATATATATATACACATATGCAAAAATGTATACACACATATACACATATACATGTGCATACCATGGTTATACAACATTTATCTAGTACAGGCTACCTCATCAGATTTTACAGGTGTTCATTTCCTGTTTGCTCAGCTCCAAAATGATCATATACATCAACTGTTACCAGGCATGGGAGTTGTCTAATGATCCAAACTGAGTGGACCCCTTTCTATTTTGTTGGAATCTGCTGAGTTACATGGTCTGCCTTTCCTGGTAAGACCTGCCTACTGATGGCCCTGGGGATGGAAGACAACATCTCCGGAATTTGTAGGTCACAGATAAATGCACCTTATTATTGTGCATTTAGCAATGTGTCTCTAATGTGCTTTTCACATTAGCTTGTGCCTTAGATCAATTTCCAGTATACTGAAATGTTTGTGTTCTGAATTTGATCCAGCTTATTGAGTACATCACTTGGATATAGCCAGAAGTACTACTCCTGATTTTTGCTTTTGTTTTTGTTCAGCTTCTCTTTAGAAATAAAATTTTACATGAACACAAATTAAATTAGATAATTATTCTACTTTATCACAATGTGTATAAATTCTCACAAAATTCTCATCTCACTCTGCCAGTTCTAGGAACGGCACATTTTGATGTTCATTTTGCTGGCATGCTTAAGGCTTGATGTAGAGGCATGGGTTTTGAAACTAGGCAAAATGGCTCACCATCAAAATTATTTTATTTTTCACATAACATACAATTATTGTAGGCTGCTCTCAACAATGCCATTTTTTGTATCTGCAGTTTTTCTTTGTATCTTCTTATTCATTGCTTTCACCTGAATGATACACATATACCAATTGATTTGGGTAAATTTTATTCATTCAATGCAAAGATCTGATTGATTGATTCACTGTAGATGCAGAATTGGAAAATTTATGGTTAATTTTGTTTCTAAAATGATAGCCTTCAGTTGAGAAGATGTGTTTCAGTTGGATAGTTTTCTCTCAGCATTATCTCTTACTACCTCTAGCTCCTTCCCCCATGGCATCTTGGGAAAACATGTGGCAAGAACCTCAATGGTAGGAACTTTCTATCATATCATTTACAGCAGGGATGGGAAATAGGCCAACCACAAGTGACCATACATCCAACAATGATATGTGAATTCTAATATAAGGCATTACATTTCTCTATTCCCTTAATCATTCTCGCACTCTACCTACCTATCCACTAATGGGAGTCATTGCTTGTTTGTCTTTTTGATTGGCTTGTTATTTGTTAATTTGTTAGTTTTTAGTAAATGACCAATAATTGCTTTCATTTTTGAACAATTTCTGGCTTTGTATAATCTTGCTTTAGAGACAAAATCCCTCTTTCTATCCTCTGGATTCATATTTTATTATATCCATAGTTTTATAGCATTCTCTTAAATTGCTGATCTCAAATTACTTGGAAATGATGAGTCAGTTATCCTGAAGTTGTAATTCATATTTGTTTTTGTCAGGTCTTTTTTGCTCCTAGACTTAATTGCACTAAAATTTGTGGTCAAAGTGTTGGTCGAACTCCATCCTTGTGAAGGTTCCTTTTCCTCCTGGTTATTGGTTTTCATTTAGATATCCAATCAACTGACTAGGCTCATTTGTCTACCTGGATAGGAATCATGGGTAGACTAGGAGAATCTCTCTCAGTATTGGCAGGCAGTCTCAGAAACTTGAAAGCCCTTGGCTGAGTGGTTGGATGGGTAGAACCTAGAGACTTACAGCTCTGAACCTTAACACCCAGCAGACTATTGCCTTAGGCTTCAACAGGAACTTAATGGTTTTAGACACTCAGATTGAAGGTTTATTCCTCTGGGCTTTAACCATCAATGACCCTAGCATTGGACAGCTACTATAATGCTCTGCTTTCAGTAACAATGAATTATGACAGCAGATAGCCACAACTATGGAGCTTTCTAGTGTTACAGCTCTCAGCTCAAGAGCTACAATTAATTACAGCTTTTATCTCCAGAAACCTTGGCTCTTAAGGCTCAGTGATCAGGGCCTGTAGTTTCTTGTCTTTAGTTCTTCTTAGTACTTTTTGCTTCCATGGCCTTTGCTCCAGGCCATTGTTGCATTACCTGCTCTGTGGAATTCATCAGTTGCTGTTGCATTGCTACTGCCATGTTTGGATGTCTGCATAGCTACTGCTGCCTCAATGCATGCTGCTACCTTCACTACCTACTGAGATAGCTAGAAAGAAAGGGTGTCTGCATCGATCATGGCAAACCTTTCACGTTTGTACCAATCATGTCCCTTATGCACATGAAGAACTGGGTGTTCACCAATCACATGCTTTCTGCTAGGTCGCTTGGGGAAGCACTCCACTTCTGACCTGAGTGGAAATGGCTTTTGGTACACCTTTAATTCATGGAAGCTTGTGACAGCACAAACTCTGATATAAGCTGTTTGGAACCGTTGTAGTTGTGAGGCAAAGGTAAACGTGTGCTTCAAAAACAAACAACTGGGCCTGGGAAGTTGGCTCAGTGGTAGAATGCATGCTTGAGGCCCTGGGTTCAATTCTTCAGCACCACATATGCAGGGGAAAAACAAGTGGGAAGTGGCGTTGTGGCTCAAGTAGTAGGATGCTAGCCTTGAGCTCAGGCTCCCACGACCTACAAAACAAAAACAAAAAACAAGCAACTTTAATTGCCATGTCGCTTCCTTGAAGTATGTGGAGACGATTTAAAGCAGCTGGTTCTGCCATGAGCGTAGTCTTGCTGGTTGCTTGGTTGACTGTCCTTGACTCAAGCTAGCTAGGTACTAAGGAAGGGTGTTACAACCGCCAATTAGGCAGTCAAATCTTAGTTTGAATGAAGGAAAAAGTAAACATTGAAAGGATTGCTTACAACAAATGCTAAAAATTAACATCAATAATGCTTTAACATTATTTAATAATTTAATATGTAATAATTTAATAATATTCTAACAGTACTGAATTCCTGTCTTGCCCCAGGAAGATGTGGTTCTGTAATCTTTCTCACATTTGTCTAATGTACATTTAAGGAAATGGTATAACAGTGATTTCATATTCTACCTATAATATAGTTATCAGAATGACAAATGGTCTTTTTAACTTGGAATTAAAAAAAACAGAAAGATACATTGCACAAAAAAGATACATAAAGCCCATTTAGAAGGTTTGTAGCACATCTTCCCTATACTTGGCACTTAGCTCTTATCCCAAAGAAAACTTGAGTTGTGTTGGCTCCCTCAGGACATTTTTTTCCACTCAGAAGTTTGCATGGTTGAGCCATACTACCTCAAACCAACCTAAGCCTCAGATCATTCCCCTGACTCCACTTTCTGGTCTATCAGTTGTCCATATCACCATGGTTAATGTGACTGGTTACTTCTGTGCCTATATCCTACCTCAGAGAAAGAAAGGAAAAGAAATTTCAGGGCAAGTGGTTTTCCTTATTTCAAGATTACTCAGAAATTGCAAGCACCCCTCCTCCTGCCCCAGTCACCTCAGCCTGTTACATGCCCACATTGAGCTACAAGGAAGGCTAAGAGGTAAAACCTTCAACATCCATTGACCCAGCTAGCAGCCTACTTTAGAATGTTAGCTAAAAAATAAAAGTAACACATGCTACCTATAGGGAATTTGGATAATATAATGTGACATCAAAAGAAAGAAAATCTACCATTAATTATTTTCAAATATTGGTAGTCTTTTTTGTGTCTTCCAAAGATACATTTTTCACATAATGTGTGTGTGTGTGTGTGTGTGTGTGTGTGTGCTGATGCAGGCATTTGAACTCAGGGTCTGAGTATATTTTTTGCTCAAGGCTAGAACTCTACTTCCACAGCTCCATTTCCAGCTTTTGGGTGGTAACTTGGAGATAATTTTTACATCCTTTCCTGCATGGTCTGGCTTTGAACTGTGATCCTCAGATATCAGCCTCCTGAGCAGTCTAGATTGTAGGTGTGAGTCACTAGTGCCCAACCTGAGCAATTACTCTTTAGTATGTATCATCTGCCATACTATAGTCTTAGTTTTCCTTATGTAAACAATTGACTCTAGAGAAGCTGACTTCAAGAGTTAATGCAGGGATTGCACTCCGATTTATATGAATATTTTATTATCTGACTATGGAACATTTATCTATTTCCAAAACTTCTCTAAATTTATATTTTACATTTCTGAGGGAAGGGAACTTAATGCCAAGTGGATTTTCAAAAAGTTATGCTGTTTTACTCCATTGTCAGTATATGAGATTATTTGTTTAGAATTATAGACAATCATGTGTATTTATCTGAGTATTGTTTATTGATTTGAGAAATCATTGTTTTTATAAAAGGAATGTGATAAGGAAACAGAAAATTTCCAGTACAAAATAGAAAAAAGAAAGTATATGTGATAAAAGCCTTTCTGGCTAGAAAATAGTTTTAAAATAAATTCACTTTATGGTTAAGTTTATAATTTGTTAGTATTTTTATTAGTCATGAGTAATTCTTTGAATTTTTCTGTGTGTCATTTCCTCCTTTTATGTATTGAATTTATGTTGTTTTATTTTTAAATCCCATATGACTTTGTAGTAAGTATAGAAACCCTACTGTTATTCTTGGTGTAATTTTCTTTTCAGTGCTGGGCATGGATTAAATCAGGGTCTAACATGCACTAGAAAGGCACTTTATCATTGAGCTACGAGTACCCCAACCTCTACTGGTTTAAATATTAGGTATTGTTTTCCCTTGTTAGAAGCTTGTAGTTTTTTATTGTCATGTATATCAACCATCTCTTTAGTTATGCTTAGAAAGCATGATTCTACTCTCCAATCATTTATGCATAAAGCTTGATTCATTTGGGGACTCTTCCCTGACCCCTGATGTTATTGGCTTTGCAATTATTTAATGAATTATCTAATTTTTCCCTTGGTTGTTAACAAATATTTATGCATTTTGGAATATTCTTCCTTCATGACTTTTTCAACAATTTTCTTCCTCTAAATAATTTTAAAGATGTATATTTTAATTATTAGCCATCTTTCTCATGGTGTGATTGTATTTTGATTCATTATAACATATAACTCATATGATAATAATGAATTATAAGTCTTTATAACAAATATATTGAAATAATCTTACATTATAATTTACATCATAATCACAAATCAAAATATATTTGTAAAATTTAAATTGTTATTTACTGTTATAGTATAATGTCTTTTTATACTTTTGTAATAAATTTACTAATAGTTTAGACATATGCTTATTGTTATTGTTTACTATGATTTTACACTATTTAATTTTCATATTATAAATTTTCTCATTTTTAAAATTTTCATTCTTTTCATTTTAAAATGCCCTTTCCTGTTTTTTTTTATTGTCAATGTGATGGATAGAGGGGTTACAGTTACATAAGGAAGGTAATTAATATATTTCTTATCCAACTTCCCCTTCCCTCATGTTTCTCCTACTTTCCCTCCTCACCACCCCATTCCCACATTGTAACATATCATTTCCAACATATTGTCTTGGGTATATCACTGTTGCATTGGTTCCTTCTTGTCCTTTGTCTCACCATTCTGTTGTTCCCCTTTTCTTCCCTAATTTAAAGAAACGCATGTACAATAGCAGGGTAACAAAATCAAATACAGTGACAACAGTGGATATACCATAGGGGGAAGAACATACAAAAGAAACAAAAATTCACGTAGTACATTAAAAACAGCAACAACAAAGAACATCCTCTTGTGTCCATGTCCATGAACAGAGCTATTGAGCTGTTCTGCTCATCTGATAAGATTATCCTAGAAGTATACTAATTATTGAAAATAAGGGAAACCATGGGACCTATGTTTCTTTGAGTCTGGCTTACTTCACTTAATATAATTTTTCCCCATTTCCTGTTGTTTTAAGATTTCACTTTTGTCTGCGAGAAAGCATTTTATTTTTTGTCATAAAATATTCACATTTTGGGGTAAGATCATTTCATATTTTTGTGCTATTGTGGAATAGTTCTTTCCCATATGTAATTTTTACTAGTATTCCTGGTACATAGAAATTCTAATGATTATTTTTAAGTTGTGTAATTGACTGGAAACATTTTATTTGGTTGTCACCTGGTATCTATTTTAATTTGAATATTTTGTGCTCATGATATTTTTGCCTCCATTTCTTTCTAGAGTGTAAAACAAGGTTTTGTTTTTTTTAGAACATGGCATATTTTAATATTTTAATTTTCTTTCCTCCCAGCATGGAAGAGTGTGAAGCCCTTTGCACCAGGCTGGCCATAATGGTTGATGGCAAATTTAAGTGTCTTGGCTCCCCTCAACACATTAAAAACAGGTACTCTGAGCTTCCTTTACTCTATAAATACTTCCTATCAAATCACTGGCCTGAGGCAATTATAACTGAGGGTGCTTTAGTCTGGAAAATTACCTGTTGACATGTAATAGGAGGTAAAATCCCAAAGAAATTAAAGGGAGTATTTACAAAACCATAATAATAAGTAAGTAAAAGACACAGTAATTCTAAGATGGGTTCCATAAAACATTTTGCTTTCTTTCCAGGACATTGTACCTGTGCTAGCATAAGATCATTGCAGGGTGATGATAAAATCAGGATGAGAAATGACCCCTTTATACACAAAATGTCCACTTAACTCTCAGCCACAGTGAATTGGTATCCACATTTTATCAAACACTGTCAAGAAATATTAAGAAGCTGACATTTAAGACAAGAAAGAGTGTTGTGATTAGTTTTCATTTGAACTAATGATGTTACTCTTTTTTATTTTTATTTTTTACTGTAAACATAGTATACAGAAGGGTTACAGTTACATGTGTAAGGTAATGAGTACATTTTCTATGGAACATTGTTACCTCCTCCTTTGTTTTTCCTCTACCATCCCTTCCTTCCCCAAGTCCCCCTCCCACCCAAGTTGTAAAATTTGTTTTCTATATAGTGTCATGTACATCTCATTGTTACAATGGATCATCCTGTATCCTTGTTTTTCAGCATTTTGTTATTTCCCTTCTCCACCGTATCTCATGTCAGTGCCCTGCATCAAGATGTTACTCTTACGTTCAAAATCTAGCAGATCTCTTCCTGGTTAATTATCCTTCCACATCTTTTTACCATTTGTTTTTGGTAGTATAATGCATGATCTTGTTACTAGTTTCTGTGAGCAGTTTTATGTCCTGATTATAACTCTTGTTTTTGGAATTTCCTGAATTATTTTTTAACTTGCTCTAATTTGTTGTTTAGCCATAACTTTTATATAGTTGTTTATGTTGATAATTATATCATTGATTTTTATTTTTTCAGCAGTTTGTGTATGTGTGTATGTTATGCATGCATGTATGTGTGCATGCGTGTGTGTGTGTGTGTGTGTGGGTATGTGTGTGTCCTGGGACTTGAACTCAGGGCCTGAGCTCTGTCCCTGTACTTTTTCACTCAAAGCTGATGCCCTATCATTTAAGCCATAGCTCCACTTTCAGCTCTTTTTCTTTTTAGTAGTTTATTGGAGATAAGAATCTCATTGACTTTCCTGCCTGGAGTGGCTTTCGAACTGCAGTTTTCAGGCACGTGAGTAGCTCATAAGTTTGAGCCATCAGTGCTTGGCTATTTCTTCAACATTTTGAAGTTAGATTTCTCAATTTCAGGTTCATTAATAAGTGTGTGTGTGTGTGTGTGTGTGTGTGTGTGTGTGTGTATGTGTGTGTTTAGATAGATAGAATTTAAAGTTTTACATTATGGAGAGTATTAGTAATATTTTAGATCAAGATGGCATATGATGTAGTGAACATAGTATTTCCAGTGTCTTAGAGTTAGGCTAGGACTATCCCAGTTACTGTTGCTTGGGAGTTTGAATAACCACTTTCTGGATAAACCTTAGAAAATATTTTTAATAAGTATCATCAAAATAATAATAATAATATTTCATACTCTCTAACCTTTGTGATTGCTTATTTGAAATTTTATGGTCTATTATATTGTCTATTCTGATTTGTTTTATTTGTTAATTGTCAGTTGTGTAGTTGGGTAAGTTATGATGAAGTGTAGTTACTTGACTTTCATCAGGCATACTAAAGTGGATTACAAAAGTTAGCGAGTCAAGACACCTCCTAGAGTTATCCTGTGGGTGGACTTGGCCCACAGTTTAGAGAGTGTCTGCTTGCCTCTAAGACTTGGTCACCTAGAAATTGATATATAACATAGTTATATAACCTATATCTATATTATTAGAGCATATGAACTATGTAACTATACTAAGAGCTATCTTTTTGCCAGACACCAGGGGCTCACATCTATAATCCTAGCTACTCGGGAGGCTGAGATTTAAGGATTGTAGTTTAATGCCTATCCAGGTAGACAAATCTGAGAGACTTATTTCCAATTAACCAGCAAAGAACTCTAAGCGGAGGCATGGCTTGAAGGGTAAAATGCCATCCATGAGTGAGAAAGCCAAGTGAGAACACAATGCTCTGCATTCAAGCTGCTTTGTGAATTATTCACTGCAACAATGAAGTTAATACCGCTTTAAAAGCAATTTATGAAATTTGTATGTTTCTGTAATAAGCAAACCTATAATGACTACAGATGTTTCCATAATATTGTTAGGAAATGAAGGATAGTGTGTGCAGGAATCAGCAGCAGTGAGCGGCAGCATTATGCAGGCCTTGGTGTGGAGGAGAGAATGCAGGATGACCCTTCCTCCTCCTCCCCAGCCCTCTTGCTCCATGCACATCCACCAAGTACCATAGAAGAAAGTGCTCCTGTAGAAGGGCCTCTGGGGTAGGGACAGGAGTCTCTTCCTTAGAGACTGTCGATAACAACTCTGCAAGTAGTTGTAAGCATTGCCATGGCTGCTGGTGCTGTTTTGGGATAGAAGAGACTGCCTCCCTCCTGAGGGTCCTCAGTATGATTCAGTCTTGTGTCCTGCCTCTAGAAATTCAGCATAGACGGATTCAGTGGGGACCCTGAGTGCTGTGTGCTGAGGACCCTGCTAGGCTCCTGCAGATAGCGACATTGGAGCAGAAGCAAGAGCCCTGCTCTGGTTTGCCCAGCATGGCCTTCCCACAGCCTCTCTGTCCCTTTTCTCAGCTGTCACTGTGGGCAGCCATGAGGAGGGAATATGGCTGAGTACACTGAGGACAGGCCATAGCCTGGCCATGATTACTGACTGCTTGTGTTTGATTGTATGTGACTAGAGTGGCAACTGCTTGACTGGCCATCTCAGTACTGACCCTAGCACATTGCAGGAGCCAAAACAAAGCCCAGGGTTGGTGGCTCACTTCTGTAATTTAGCTACTCAAGGAGGCTGAAATGTGGAGAATCACAGGGGAAGGCCAGACAGACAGAAAAGTCTATGAGAAGCTGTCTCCACTATAACCAGTGGAAAAGCAAGGATGGAGGCATACCTCAAGTTGTTAAATGCCAGCCAACAAGCAAGATATAAGAGTACAAGGCTTTTTTCTGCATCTGTTGAGATAACCATGTGATTCTTCACTAGCCATACAACAGACAAGGTCTCATATCTAAAATATACCTGGAACTCAAAAACTTAAATCCCCCAACAACAAATCCTCAAAGAAACAACTGCCCAATAAATAAGTGGGCTAAAGACTTAAAGACAAGCTTCTCTGAAGAGGAAAGAAGGATGACCAATGGACACATGAAGAAATGCTCGACCTCTCTAGCCATAAAAGAAATGCGAATCAAAACATTGACATACCACCTCACTCCAGTTAGAAAGGCTATAATCAAGAACTCTAATAACAACAGATACTGGAGGGGATGTGGACAGAAGGGAATTACTTCATTGTTGGTGGGAGTGTAAACTTGTTCAACCACTTTGGAAAGCAGTATGGAGGTTCCTCAAAAGACTCCACATAGAGCTCCCCTATGACCCAGCAATCCCACTTTTGGGCATTTACCCAAATGATCACAAACAAGACCATCCCAACGCTACCAGCACAACTATGTTTATTGCAGCATTATTTACCATAGCTAAGATATGGAACCAACCCAAATGCCCCTCAGTAGATGAACGGATCAGGAAAATGTGGTATATAAATACACACACACACACACACACACACACACACACACACACACACACACACACACAATGGAATTCTATGCCTCCATCAGAAAGAATGACATTGCCCCATTTGTTAGGAAATGGAAAGACTTGGGAAAAATTATATTAACTGAAGTAAGCCAGGCCCAAAGAAACATAGGTCCCATGGTTTCCCTTATTTGAAATAACTAGTATATGTCTGAGACAAGAAGAAAAAGTCAGATAAGTTGATGTTAGGTGAAATGAACCCCAAGACAAGGACTCTAATATTTTTTTTTCTTGCTATTGTTTCTAACATTTTTATAAGATATTTCTTTGTTGCTTTGTATGTCCCTCCCCACGATAGAACTCCTGTTTTCACTATATTTGATGTTGGTATAATTTGTGGAGGGGAAGGGAAAAAACAAATTGTTTAAATATGGATACAGGTGGACCCATTGCAACAATGAGATGTACAAGACGTTATGTCGAAAAATGAACTTTAAGCTGGGCGCCGGTGGCTCACACCTGTAATCTTAGTTACTCAGGAGGCTGAGATCTGAGAATCACAGTTCAAAGCCAGCCTGAGCAAGAAAGTCCGTCGGATTCTTATCTACAATAAACCACTAGAAAACTGGAAGTGGTGCTGTGGCTCAAGCTGTATAGCACTCGCCTTGAGCTGAAGAGCGCGGGGAAAGCACCCAAGCCCAGAGTTCAAGCCCCACGACCGACCAAAAGAAAAAGAAAAAGGAAAAAGGAACCTTACAACTTTGGCTAGGGGGGTGGGGTGGGGTGGGAAAGAGGGGAACAGAGCAGGGGGAGTTGGAGGGGGAGGATGTGAAGGGATGGGAAGGGGAAACAAAGGAGGAGGCAACAATGCTTGATAAGAAATGTACTCATTACCTTGCCCATGTAATTGTAACCCCTCTGTATGGTATTTTCACAATAATAATAATGATAATAAAAAGAGTACAAGACATTAAGCCAGGCACCGGTGGCTCACGCCTGTAATCCTAGCTATTCAGAAGGCTGAGATCTGAGGATCATGGTTCAAAGCCAGCCTGGGCAAGAAATTGAGTGAGACTCTTATCTCCAATAAACCACTCAGAAAACTGGAAGTGGCGCTGTGGCTCAAGTGCTAGAACGCTAGCCTTGAGCTGAAGAGCTCAAGGACAGTCCCCAGGCCCAGAATTCAAGCTCCACAATTGACAAAAAAAAAAAAAGAAAAAGAAAAAAAGAAAAAGAAAAGAGTACAAGGCCTTCAGTACAAATCCCAGAACTG